GATATTGCCTTTTCGAGTGGCTCTAGTAGGTCCTGGATGTCTGGCAGGGTTCTTAGGAAGTAGGTCCAACGATGTTTCAAACCAAATGTGTATGCGGCATAGGACGCTTGTGGTTGGGACAGTGCAAATTCGGCTAATTCTGTCACTTCAATTAGAGACCTTCTCATTAACATATTCCTCCAGATATATTCCTCCGATAAACTTTATACTGTAATTCATTTATTTTTTATTCTTCGATTTTATCAACCTCACAGTACATACGTAGATACTAGATACAAAAATATATAACATTTGTTTGTGTGATGTTACTCTGAGTGCATATCCACACCGGAGTAACATCACACAAACATCTTATTCACCTGAGTACATTACACCAACACAGCAAATTTCATATATAACATTTGCTAGAGAATAGATGTTGGATAGGTACAATTGACAAGGTATAGCAGAAATTGGCTGTAGAGTAATTTTAGCATCTAGGTTTTGAGAATAAAAATATTGCGTAGGAAGACCATGGGGGTCACACGACTTGCACAAGGACAATGTCGAAATATCAATATGTAATTCAATATTCAGGAATTTAAGGTGTATAATTTCAACTCGAAGTAAACTAAAGTCTAAACCCAGACTTTTTGATTATCTCGGCTCTCGAGCGATTTTGTGACATTTTGTCTGTTCATTTCTTCGATCAAATCAAGCACAGTGTCAGTGTTTGAAATTCTAGCGATGTGAATAAACTGGAAGATAAAGTCTAAATCCTGAAGGCATAAAAGCCAAGGTAAGAATCGAATTAAGTTAAGTAATATATAATCATAGGGAAGCTAAAATAGGCATATATATCAAAACAACGCTACGTCAGCGTTGGCTACTATTTGATACAATGAATTTCCCCATAGACATAAACCTGAAAAGAAAAGGATATTTAGAACTTTGTCTGTGGTTTTAGATGTTGGGGCAGACTTTGTTTAGAAAGCCAATCTACAAATAGCACTATCTTTTAAAAGTTTCGAAATCGATTTCATTTGGTTTTAATATAGTCAAATTTGTTGATACAGCGATTGCTATAGTCAGCATGCAATGCATGCTTTCACAAATATTTGAAGTAATAGATCAAATCTGACTATGAGAACTTTAACAGATATCCAGGCTATTTTGAAGTGAGGTGAATTAACTTTGATCTAGTCGAAGGACTGAATTAATTTTTCATCGATCTATAGCCTGTATAGAGGAGGGGGGCAAAGGTATTTTCGTGACCCGTGATTAGCAAATTCGTGCTTCGTGATTTGAAGAAATACTATTCCGTGAATCGTGAAGAGCTAAAACAAAGGGCTAGCTAGGGTCTTGAATTTACCAATATTTTACCTTAACTTGTAAATGTTTACGTTTAAAACTCGGCCCAAATTTAATATTAACGTTAAAAAAATGAATAAATTTGCTTCCCGTGGTTGTCTTTCTTGAGGTTTCTTCGTTTCATCGTAGATTGACGCAACAAGCATCAAACATCGTGAACGTCGTTCGTACCTCTTCGTGAACCATGAGACGCTCAAAGACGCTCGTAATGTTTCGTAATGCTTTGCAATGATTGATAGTCCTCGATTTATGCTGTCTAGAAAATCGTTAAATAGTTTCAACGCTTCTGTGTTTCTAAAAATCGTGAAAATGAAATTTTGTTTTTCGCTGTGACTCGTGAAATCTAAAAATGATCTTCGTGATTTCGTCACGAGCCCCCCCCCCCCCCCCCTGTATAGGATTGGATCAATATAGGCTACTTCACCAAGTATACAGTAGTATCATGTGAGGAAAATAAAGTGATATGTACTATTTACAACACGAGCTGGAGTTCTTTATCAGATATAAAACACGAGTCGACAGCCGAGTGTCTTAAGTATTTGGTAAAGCTATTAAGCACGGACTGCGAGTGTTTTGAATGGCTTAAAAAACGACACATCTTATGAGTTCATTGGCGAAAAAAATTTAAAAGTCAACGTTATATTATATCTAAACCCAGAAAATCAAAGCCAAAATTTATGTAAATTAACATGATTTTTTATCACATGTAAAACCACTGACACAGTAGTGATTTCCTTGTGTTTTCCTCATGAATTATTAAAGTACTTTTTTAGGTTGGTTACTTTACTCATGAGTGTGAGATTTTTGAATATTAGTACAAAACGATATCTAACATCTCTTTTCTTATGTTTCTCAAGATGTTAATTGATTATAAGAAAGACACGGATAAAAAGAGCTTTAATTAAATTCTTGATGTGAATAGAAAATGGCGTCGTACGACACTGGTTATGAAGACGAACTATTTCAACATCCAGTCGGCCCGAGCTCTCATTGTGGTATTTGTTATAATGTTGTTAAAGACCCTGTGATGTGTCGTCATAATGAGCATCTGTTCTGCCGAGCTTGTATCACCAGACATCTCATGAACTCCCAGACATGCCCTTCGTGTTTGGAACCACTCACCGTCGACACTTTGAGCCAACCATCGCGGACCGTAATGAACTTACTGTCGGAATTAAAAATCCGTTGCCAATTCTTCAACCGTGGTTGTGAAAAATTTATCGAGTTAGGAAATCTGGACAGGCATGTCACAGACTGTGGGTTTGCCCCAGTAATCTGCTCTAACGAAGGATGTCGACTCGAAGTGAATAAACAAGATTTACTGCACCATGAAACAGCTGTGTGTGAACTACGCCGAGTTCAATGTCATAACTGTAATGACATACGACAAGAGATGGACGCAGTGAAAGTTAATTTGGCAGCAATGAATCTAAAGTTGACGGAAGTTGGTAAAGCAGTAAAGGATGATGTGGTTGCAAAAGTCAAACTTGTTCAAGAACAACTTAAGAAGCAGGAAGAAAGCAATCGTCAGCTCAAGACGGACAATGTGGAAATGAAGAAAAGTTTAAACGAAATTACAAAACAACTGGGAAAATTGACACAACAAACATCGCATGAAGTTCAGGCTGAACAAGAGCAAGAAAAGAAAGGAATTGCAGAAGCTGATGGAATGGACAGAGAGCCGAAGGTTGTTGTTGCTGGCGGCTGGAATAGTCAAGGAAGTTTAAATTCTGTGGAAATGTTCAGTCTCTCAAAGTCAACGTGGGAACCATTAAAGCCAATGAAAGCGGCTCGTCAAGCAGCATCTGCAGTTGTTTACAACAATCAAGTTTTTGTCAGTGGAGGTTATTGTAACGGTCATGGAATCAAGTCAATGGAGAAATTGTCAATGAATGTTGTTGAAGTTGACCAGTCTGTTGAAAACTGTCCTGACGAGTTACCTGGACCACTGTATGGACATTGCAGTGTGGTTTATAATGGACGGTTGATAGTGATTGGAGGTTACGATGTTGATAAACATGCATGTTCTGATAGTATTACTGAGGTTTCCCTTGCTCCACCTTATGCAAGTAAAGTACTGGCTACCATGCCACAGACAAGGTGGTTACATGCTGTTGTATTGTTTGGTGAGACGATCGTAATTCTTGGAGGAAGAAAAGATGCGAACAATAGCAAAAGTCTTAAAAGTGTGTTGTTGTATGATATTGCTAAGAATGAATGTAAGGAGTTAGTACCTCTACCTTACCCCGCAAGTAAAACGGCCGCAGTCAAGTGGGGTGATGAAAATGTTATTATAATGGGCGGTGCTGACAGTGATGCCAAACCATTGAACAGAGTTTTAATGTATAACATCAAGAGCCATAAGATTCATATGTTACCAGACATGAAGTATAAGAGAGAAGGATGTGTGGCTGCAGTTGTCAAAGACACTGTGATTGTCATGGGAGGCCAAGGTGAAAAAGGAAATTACTTAAAGGCTGTAGAAGGTTTTAGATTTGATCACTTCTCCTGGGAACAACTTGCAGACATGCCGGAAGCGAGTTGCCTCCGTACTGCAGTTGTGTGTTAATCATGTACTGTACATAATTACAGTAAAATCCCGCGTATAAGAACCTACTATTTTCCAGGTTAAGGTGAATAGGTTTTTACATATTTGATCATAATATTAAGTTTTATTTCATGACTCTGATGCAGTGCCGGATTAACCATATGGCAGAAGCGGCATATGCCACGGGCCCCGCGCTTTTGGGGGCCCCGCGCTTACTCTCTTCTATTTTTTTCGGAATTTTTTTGTTCCATGTTTCAGTGCGAGACCCAAACAGTGCGCCAGTGCGGGGCCCTAAAGAGCCCAAGTCCCCCAGAAAACGCGAGGGCCCCAACATTTAAAAATCGAGGTCCCAAATAGCCGGGCCTGAAACGGGTTTTTTTATTCCTGTTTCAGCGCAGGATCCAAACAGCGCGGGGCCCCAAAGGTCCAAGGCCCCTAAAAGCGAAGCCCCGAAATAAAAAAACACGAGGCCCCAAAGTTTAAAAAGCGAGGCTCCAAAAGCAGGACTGCAAACAATTTTTTTTGTTCCTTCTCTGGGCAAGGGGCTCCAAAGAGCGAGGCCAAAAAAATCATAGGGGTCAGAAAATATCAAAATTTGCAGTAAACTGTTAAATCTGACTAAAAGATTGCTGAATTTTGTGGAAGACGGCAGAAGTTCATATGGACGGTATCATGTTTAGCTATTTTTCCCCTGTAAGTTTATTTAATCTTATTTGGAAACGGTAACCCTTCAGATCTACTATTACTAACATCTGATTTCCAAGTGGCCGTTTACATGCAGTAATACAATAAAAATATATAAAACGACATTAAAGAACTAACCTAACACAATACAGGAGCTATTTACAAACAAATGACATAATTAGATTCTATTTACTGTTCGCACATTTCGTCTATTCGTAATTATAATCAGCTCGAGAGAATTGTTTTAATTGCCAAATAGAAACGTCATGTACTTTAGCGGCTTTTGGGAGGCTATTCCATAGACTTACGGCTGAATAACTTATGCTTTTTTTCATGAAATCTGTTTTAGGTTTTGGAAGTGCATAATTCACATTATTATTGCGTAGGTTGTAGTTGTCGTTGCTATTAATATGGAACATGCTAGATATGCTTTCTGGGAATTGCTTATTTTTAATTTTATGCATAAATACTATTTTCTGAGATCTCCTTCGTCCAGCTAATGGTTGCCAACCAAGTTCATTCAGCATATCACTTATTCTTGTATCGTACGGTTTCCCCGTAATTACTCTAGCTGCTCTATTTTGCATTTTCTGTAATTTATCTTGGAGGTAGACGCTACAGTTTTCCCTAACTAAACTGCAATAGTCAAAATAAGGCAGTACTATAGCCTTATAGACGTTTTCTAAAACTGTTGCCGGAACATATTTCTTAATACGACGTATCATTCCGATACCTTTTGAAGCCTTGTTAACTATGCTTTCGATCTGGTTTTTCCACGTTAATTGTTCATCGACAATTACACCTAGGGTTTTTGTACATTTTACCCTATTAATATTTGTTTCCCCAAGTTTTAATTCTTGTTCGTTTTCAATTTTGGCTAATCTCTGTCTAGACCCTATTATCATGTATTCGGTTTTTTCTTTATTAAGAGTTAACCTGTTGGCTAGCAACCATTGATGAACTCTTTCTAAGTCTACATTTAATTTAGTTATGACTTCCTCACTTGTACCACCATTTGTCGTTAAGTTTGTGTCGTCAGCGAACATACTAGTGGACGAGTGCGAGAGACACCTCGGGAGATCATTTATGTATACTAGAAATAACAATGGTCCTAGGTTTGAACCCTGAGGCACTCCGCATCTTATAGTATGTTCTCTTGACATGGTACGCTTAATTTTACATATTTGTGTTCTATTGGACAGATATGACTTAAACCATTTTAAGGTAATTGTGCTAGACCCATAGAGATATAGTTTCCTAAGCAGTATATCGTGATCAACACAATCAAAGGCTTTCTTCATGGTCCAAAAATATTACACCATTCAAGCACCCATTGTCCATATTGATCAACCATTTGTTGGTAGCTTGAAGGAGCGATGATTGTGTTGAGTGATTTCGGAAACCTGATTGTTCACCTGTGAGTATCTCATTGGATTCCAGATATTCAGACAATTGCATTGAAATGAGTTTCTCAAAGATTTTGGAAATTGCCGAGAGTATTGAAATTGGTCTATAGTTAGTACACTCTTTCTTAACTCCCGACTTGAAAATAGGTGAGATCACTGCAGTTTTCATATCATCAGGAAAGATACCAGTTTTAATAGATTGGTTAAAGATATTAACCAAAGCTGGCGCTATGATATCTGCAGAGTCTTTCAGCAATTTTGGTGAAATTTTATCGTGTCCTGTTGCCTTAGAAACCTTTATAGTGGAAAGTAAGTTAAATACTTTTTCAATTGAAACGGTATCAATTTCAAAAGAGGAATTCGCAGGGGTGATAAATGATTCTGGTGTTATGTTGGTTACAGGTAAAGCATCAGCCAGTTGAGTACCAATATTAATGAAAAATGTGTTAAAGGCATCAGCAATCTGTTTAGGCTCGGTAACAGAGTGGTCATTCTCAACGTGGATCTCAGTGATGTTAGTTGTTTTAGAATTTTTGTTTGTCAATGTCCTAATTGTGTTCCACATTGTTTTAGGATTTTGATTATTTTCACTTAGGGCATTAATTCATAAAGTATTTAGTTTTCGTGTTTTTAACGAGCTTGTTAACTTCATTTCTTACTCTTTTATACGCTTCGTGCACATTCCTTGAGCCCGATTTAACGGCCTTTTTTTTAAGATAATCTCTATTTTGCATACTTTTCTTAATATTTTCTGTAATCCAAGGAGCATGCTCACTTCTAACTTTCCGTGTAATTGCATGGTGGCGCATGTAGATCAGCAACCGCCAAAAAATTTTGATTTCCACTCCTCCCAAAGAATGTTTGGGTTTGTAAAGTTTGATTGTATTTGGAAAATTTCAATTAAATCTGATCTAAAAGCATTAATTTCGAAATATTTATACTGTCTTGTGTTGACAATTTTTGGCTCTTTTCGGGGAATAGAAACTTTTCGGCAGACATAGATCATGCTATGGTCACTTATTCCTATGTGTTCCACGCCCGAGTCAATAATCAGTTCAGGCTTGTTACTGAATGCTAAGTCTATTAACGTACTAGAAGTTTCGGTTATTCTCGTTGATTCTTTAATTAATTGTTCAAATTGAAATGTTTGAGCAAGATCAACGATTCTTTTTGTCTGAGGTGAAATTGTACGTTCTCCGAGATTGTTCCAATCACAGTTGAAATCTCCAATTGTGATAACTTCCTTATTTTCATAATCCATTTTTGTAATACACTCCTCGTAATCACTAAACAAATCAAGACTTGTACCCGGTGGTCTATACCATGTATTGATTAAAAACGACTTCGCTTTTGGTTTGAAAATTTGAACTGTGATTGATTCCAAATTTGCATGATCTAAGTCTGGCCGTAATTTATAGCTTATACAATTTCTAATATAAATCGCAACACCCCCGCCATTACGATTTCTATCTTTACGAATAACTTCGTATCCATTAACATTTACTTCATAATCTTGGATTGTACCGTCTAGCATTGTTTCACTTAAACATATTATATCAAACTTGCAGTTATGACTATATATCCTAAACTGATCTATATTTTTAACTAAGCTTCTGATATTTAAATGAGATATCTTGAAGCCCTTCAGTAATAATGTTAATGGTATAAACTGGGTTGAAATTCAGTTCGATCGAATTATTGATGTATAACTCTTTTTGTTTGTAAATACACAGGAAACTTTTCAATGCATGAAATACAAGAGGATATTTTTTAATCTTACTGAAGTCAGTGTCTAAAATGCCGTTGGAAGGTTGGGGGGGGGGGATCAAGGGGCCCCGCGCTGATAATATGCCACGGGCCCCGCGGAACTTTAATCCGGCCCTGCTCTGATGTTTGCACTCTCTAAAAATCAGATTCAAACATACCTACACAAATTTCAGCTGGTAGCAGTGTAGGGTTTTAATCCGCTAGGTTCTTGTATGCGAGGTTTTACTGTACTAACAATCCATCTTTGTTTATAAACATGTATCAATGATGTCTGCTTTCTGGGCGTGACAGGAGAATGATGTAGATTTGATAATTATATCTAGGAATAATTTCAGAAACACTTGAAACAAGATAACGTGCAAGGCTACTACAGTCACGGTTGAATGTAAATAATGTATTAAAATATATATTTGCTCGAAATTTCCATGTAAAAAAAAAAACATTTCAATATTTAAATGATAACAATGCTATCTTGTAAGAACATGCATGTCCTATGTATCCAATAAATTGTGTTCAAATTCTTAGTATTTGTACTATTCAAATTGACCAAGTGTTTAAACTTACGAGAGTCTCCATTATGTTCCCGAAACCGCGGATGCGTCTGTAAAAACAAATTAGTTAAAACAACCGGATATTAATTGTTAATAATAATTATTTCTCAAAGAAAACCAATTTCTTGATTGTTTTAACAAATATATATTTTTACGGTGTTCATCTCGCCCGAAATATCGAGTCTTCTTTTTAGGAATGTGACTTCATTCCTGCGCCTATATTACTGCAAAATGCAAAATGTCAAACTATTATTAGATAATCTCAGAGTAATTTCGGATTTCACGAAGTTAGGAATGTACTTTAGACCTTTTAAAGTGTGCTATATACCGTGCGTAACTGATATTAACAACCATTGACATTGCCATGCATACCTGATATTAGTATAAATTTTGCATATCAAATGAGCTTTCGCGCGTTCTGATTGGCTAGTTGACTAGTAAATCTGAGGCATTATTTACCACCTGGGTAGTAAATAATGCTTTTCAAAAAGAATGATTCGGCAAATTTGGTTTCAAAATCGACAAAATATTGAAAAAATCGTCCCAGAAAAAGAAAAAAAGCACAAAATGTTGTATTTAACTTGAAAGGTAGGATTTATTATTATATTACTGTGTCAAACATATTCACGGACAATTTAAAACTTATTTAAAACTCCGAAACATTCGCTTCAAACGTAAATCTGAAATGGCAAAAAATATCCCGACTTTTGGGAAAAGCCGTGATATTCTTTTTAAAACAATTTTGTTTTGTATCCTATAAATATCTCAATTTGTACGATACTATTTCTTTTGACTATGTCGTATTTTCATTGTGCTGTATGGTGTCCTTTCGCTGTATTGTACTATTTGTGTTTTTAAAACTTGTAAAGTGAAAAGTGTATTAAAACTTTTATATTAATTCGAACGATATAG